AAATGTTTACTTTATGCAGACCATTTAGAACAGATATTCGAAATAAATGAAAATGTCAATCACAGTCATTTCTAGTGATATTGATCGAATCTAGTAAGTTTTATGACCATTAGTCGCAAATTAAAGCCTACTCTTTGGGAGATACTACACCAATACGTGTGACAAACGTAAAAAATCTTGGTGTGACTTTTGATTGTAGTTTAACTATTCGTGCTATTCGCGCCTTGGCAGTTGACTATTATAAATTTTACTTTTATAAAGTTTAGATTTGTTTTCCGCAATACCCACGAGTTTCAATATACAGAAATAATCAAACAATTATTTAACACCTCAGTGAGAAGTAAATTGGAATCAGCGACATGTGTTTGGAAAACTTATCAGTCTAAGTCTGACCATCGAAAAATTTCAAAAGAAATTACGGATACTATCCGTTCTTATATCCTACATAACTTCTGTTGGATATCTAGGGTATAATTTGCTTGCAAGTTTTTTAATAAACAGATTAATATTACTGTTAGGCGCTCTGTACATACATAATATATACCAATTTGTTTCTGGAATTATTATTAATACCACAGTGCTCAAAGTGATTTTCAACAGCTAGTTCAGAGATCCAGTCAATTTTTTTTAGAACAATAGAACCACACCTTGTAGTAAGTGGTGATGAAAGCCTCAATGATGAATTGCATCTTGTCTTTATGGATTTTTATCACAATAAAAAAAATCTTTGTAAATTTGCTATTGTTAGAAAAATATTCCAATATTGAAGGGAATTTAATTTATTGAAAAATCAGATTATTAGCAGCTGGGGGACGATTCAATGTAATTCAATGCCGCATACAATAGATTAGATGCTTTCATTTAACATAAGATGTCTTAAAAATGGCCAGTAATTTCATTCCATTCATTGAAAAGTAAGAGATCTATATAGATAGTCTTCTAGATAGTTTAGATCTACTTCTGAGAAAGAACTAGCTACAAGTTTAAATTTTTCATATTATTATTTAATATCATTCTACTATAATTGGCAATATTTTTTTTAAATGACATTGTACACTATTTTCACCTGTTCTATACAGAATAACTATTATCTCTCTCTATTTCAATTAAAGGTAGTATTATAAGGAGCGACATTAAAAGATTCAATTTAACTTCTCGGAGATATTACTATATTGGCAAAATATGCAGTAGAGGCTATTGGTATGATTTGTTCTTACGTCTCTTTACTGTGTCTACATCTGATCATTGCAGCTAGTAACTGGTAGCTGATTCTTTTCTGCCATAGAGACAAAGTGTAATAATTTACCAAGGAAAAAAGTCAGTATATTTTTCGTTGCACCTTGAATAATTTAGTCTTTATGTAAGAATTTAATGTAAAAGGCCTTTATTTCTAATATCAATAAGGGTAAAAAAGCTAGTAAAATTACGAAGTGGCATCTTAAGCCTTATTTATATTTGATATAGCCAGGTATACGAGTAGTACAATATAGTTGCAATATGATAGGGAAAATGACCACTCTCACACAGAAAACCAACGGTTAATAGCAGCATAATGCTACTTTGATTCATATGATAACTGTTTTACTGATAACTAGACATTCGATCTTGCCTCAACATGGCATTAAAAATAAGTACGTCTGCGCGTGTCAGTGGTATGATATGTCTGGTACTACAATTTCCAATGCACCCGCCAAGCGGCGTGATTAAAGTAATTTTCATTACGCGTGGAGAGTCATACTCCATCGGACGTTTACAGGCTGATAAAGAGGAAAAAGAACAACTGTATTTAAAACATACAAGGGAAAATGCAAAAGAACCCTGGCAGACCACCTTTAATCACATTCAGTTTTTTATTTAGTTAGACAAAAAAAACAAGCGATTGAACTTGATAATTTATATTGAAGGTTTTGGCATCATATCTAAAAAGGGATTGCCGTATAACTACTAGTAAAATAAAGATCTTCAAAACCATTGAGTCAACCATTGAGAAAACCTTGATCTTTGAATGCACACACGTTAATATCAAATGCAATTACTGACCATTCTGAAGCCACATTCTCTCGAATTATAGGAAAGTCTCGAATGAAACCTTTTGTTGGAAAGCATTGAGGTTTATAGAATTGCCTCACAATGGCAAACGATCTCTAAACCTTCTTTGTATTGTGGTTAGTGATTTCTTTTCTGTTTGCTAAGATTATAATATGACGATATTTTTAAATGCGATATTTTTTAACCAAACTAGAATTTTTCCCTTAACCCTGAAAATGTTTTACATAAATTGCGTATTATTTAATAAACACCCACACTCGAGAGGTGAAAATGATGTAAAATAACTGAGCCATAGGTACAATGAGCAGTGCAAATACAATGACTAGTATTTCTGTCTCCGTGGTATTCTTTTAAACCTTTAAAGAATGAAATAATGAAGTTGCTTATCAGGTGTCCATTGTCTGCAGTACCGCTTACTACCGGTTATCTCGTTTGTCCAATATAACAAAAATGTAAAGCTGCACGATATTGTTATATTTTATATTTTTTCATTTACATAAACCAGTCATAAATAAAATAGGCAAATTTAGTACAATATAATAACAAATTATTCCAAAATAAAATAAATACTTTCATAATAAAACTCTGAACAATATTGTGAACAATTCGCATTATGTATCATGTGAATATTTGCTACGAAAACGGGAAAATTCAATCCTACTACCTGGTCAAGAGAAAACAGCATTCCCGATCCTGCTTCTTGAAAATGTGTATGTGTACAGTTTGAGCATTTCAAATAAAGCCTTGATGCAGCAATAGATTATAAAAGTATTTTAAGAATTAAAGACAATATGTAGATACTGCTGAAATTTTCTAATGAATAAATATTTACCTCGTATGGTGTGTGATTTTATTGGTAGGGAGACAAAACGGATTGAATTTTAGTACTCAATGATTACGTGTCTGCATTTTGATTCTTATTTAAAGAAAATGCAAGATGATATATTCGACATTCAACAACTACTGGCTAAAGCTCACTTTGTATTTGTAGCTACGAAGTTCTTATATACCTTTACTGTAGGCTTATAATTGTTGTTCATAGTGATTAGGTTATAAACCGTTAACAACTTGTATGTCTTTAAGACGAGAGTGAATAGGTTTTAAGTACACGAAAAAATTTCGTTTACAGCCAATGGCTGCATCATCACTTACCACCAGTTAGTATTGTATTCAAGCAATGGCATCTATAAATAGCACTAATATAGAACTCGACGAAGAATCGAAATAACTGGCTTCTCTTAACCTCATAGGTTAAAAAGAGGACAATATTTTATTTTAAGTCTATTTGTCTCTCTGTCCCGATATATTCTCGGAATAGCTGAACCGAAATTGATGAATCTTTATAAAGAGATCTTAGCATAGTCTACAGACCTACATACAGATGGTAGTTATCTGAAAACCTTTTAGCATTTATCATGAAATCTAAAAAATATAGATAAACTATATGTTTACGCCAAGTTGTGGCATTTGAAGCGTGCAAGTGCGTCCCGGGGTGAGGAACCGGTTAGCGTTGCTTGGGATGGGGGTCTTGCTGTGCGCGTACGGCGCTGCCAGCGTCCCAGTCGGCAGGAAGCTTGGAGCGCTGCGGCCGTGCCGGTTAGACGTCGGGAGTTACATAATAGTTGTTGCGTCGCACATCGGCGGCCTCCATGTTCTTGTATTTGGTCGTTAATATACGTGACAACGAGGCTTTTCTGCGTTTGATTGACTATTTTAACATTGATCGCTATTAATTTGTGTCGACGAGTGGCTGGTGTAGCTAACTAGAGTTAAACTAAATTAGTTAAGGTGTACGAAGGAATTTTGCTTTGTCGGGTGGAACATTGAACTTTGTGATCTGGGTGTAGATTGCGCGCCATTATAGTTCGTGCTAAGTGACGCTGAACTCGAGTTCCGATAGCGTGAAAATAGAAGCAGAAGCTTTCAATTGTTGAACGCTCCCCTGGAGGGATCTCACATTTGGAGAGAAGCAGCGCCTTTGGATCGGCACTCCTGGATCAGCGGGGCTATCAGGTTACACAGTATACACAACTACACACTACTTACATGCACATCACTTCCCACCTGACAGGTACCTCGTGGTCAACCCTACCTCCGCCAATCAGTAAGTGGTGCTTGCTTATTTGTCACAATTTTTTTGTCAAAAAATTGTTTGTGGCCATTTGGCCCTACCCTCTGCTACTCGTCGAATTGGGTTACTGTGGGCCCTAGCTCAATCGACCTTTGTCGGGGTAACTCAGGGCCGTAACATTTCTGAGCGCTCCATACGAAAGCAAAAATAACACAACAATCTCTGATTGCTAATGCATTTTTTGCCACTTTCCCCAAAAGAACGCTCAAAACTCATCCAACTTTACAAGACTTCAATTTTACACAATTTTTTTAAGAATTTACACAGAAAATCACGTGCCCTTAACATCAGTTGAGCAAGTTTTTAAAGATCACAATTACTCTAACGAGGACTTCTATTCAGCCTACAACAGCAAAATATCTAATATAGAAAACAGAGTTGTCGACTCCTCGAACTGAACTCGAACATCTGACAAAATTCAGCAAGATAATTATGAAAGTGGTAAGTTTACGTCTCCTGTCGTTGTACAAGAATTCAGTGATGCCGATTACAAAGAGCAGGTTTTACTTTAGTATCGACTATGACTCCATATATAGAAAACGGATATGGGATTGTAAATATGAAAAAGGACTCTAAAGGACATTATTCTAAAATTTACGTACCACATTATTTTAACGAAGAGATAGTTTATGTAACTCCACGACCTATAGGACAGAGATACTTGGCACGTATAACGGTAGCACTGAGATTGCTCAATTCCAATCATACTGAAGATTTGAACTATATTGATGATCACGGTACTTCCGATACTGAACTCGTTGTTAGAAGGCGGGAAAAAAAACAATAAATCGGTGTACATCAATACAAAGACACTGAAACCATGTGGTTGCGTGTTCTGGTGGCTGTCAGTGTGACAGTGCAGATGTGGTCGCAGCACGCATATGCGAATCAGAGAGTGCAGCAGAATGGTAAAGGTTTCGAGTGGAGTTGGCAGTTGTCACCAGTAGATTCAGTGCTCGCGAATCAGTTTTATGTCCAACTGTCTCAGCCAGTACAAGGAGTTCATTATGCATCGAACGTTGGTGTCTTACAAAATATAGAACCAATACCCGACGGTAGCGCCCAAGCAACAGTGGGATATAATCATGTGGTACCAGTTCAGATATATGAAAATCCATCGCTACCTAACAACACACAGATAATACATAACAGTCAAAGTAACGGAAATCCTGAGCATACTCCCCTCGACATATATCTTCTTCGACAGCAATTCTCTTTGCTAGTGTATAAACTGTATAACCAAATTTATTCAGCTTAAATACTTTAAACCCAACCGGGTACAATTTTCAAACTAATCATCTAATAACAAATAGTCAATCAAACGCAAAAAAGCCTCGTTGTCACGTATATTAACGACCAAATACAACAACATGGAGGCCGCCGATGTGCGACGCAACAACTATTATGTAACTCCCGACGTCTAACCGGCACGGCCGCAGCGCTCCAAGCTTCCTGCCGACTGGGACGCTGGCAGCGCCGTACGCGCACAGCAAGCCCCCCCCCCTTCCCGCGCAACGCTAACCGGTTCCTCACCCCGGGACGCGCGCTTTGCACGCTTCAAATGCCACAACTTGGCGTAAACACTATAAGATATATAAAAATGTGTATTTTTTTTAAACATTTTATTTTCGGTTAGCAACTTTATAAAAAATTGTGTGATTAATTTCGTATTTCGATTTTTTAGCATTTTTGTTATTTTGTGTACATACCATTTTACAACAAAGGAGTTATTAAGGTGATAGGGCTTGTTTAACGTGAAATTAATAGATTTTACCTTTTTCTTTTCCGCATTTTTGCTTATCGTAAATAGTTTTTAGAGTCATAGCAAAAAACAGAGTAGACCTGTTTTATAGATGTCCAGGTTTTTTTTTGAGTGCTACGCGTATGAAGCAGTAATTACATTTCAGTTGATTTAGATAGGTTAAATAATTAGGAAGTATTACATTGTGTGAATCTCTTTGAATAATTTTCAACATAAATCTACGATTAAGAATAAAAATGCAGAGGTGTTTTCAATCTTCAGGTAATGCATGGATTTTTATTATTTACATAATAAGACAATTGACAATCGAGCACACAATCCACCTACTGGTAAATGGATGCTGCGGCCCATAGACATCTACATCTATCCTCGATTATAAATCAAAATTCAGATACACTACAAAAAGGATCTCCGGTTCTCTACACTCACCATATGAAACATAGAACCATTTGCTGCTGCTATTTTACTCTGGTATTTTATGACAGCGTAGTACTTACCCGGTCGAGCACATTTGTGGTATAACCATAATATAACTGCAGCGTGGCTCTACCACGAGATAAATATTTATATGTAAATATCTCCTTATGACCTATATAGCAACTTATTGTTTTTTCCGTCACTTTATTAAGATTCTCTTGGCAAGGTTACTGAAGTGTACATTATAATATTGGTGGCATCACTCATTCACCGTAAAGCAACTGACTTTGGCGAAAGCTAGTAGTAAGATCCATCCCGCTGAATGTGTCACAGGGAAAGATTTAATCATTGTCATTGCAAAATAAACTCTGGAAGAAAATAAATTACTCGGTATGAGAGGAACTCCGAGATACACAGTCATGCTCCCCGGCACCACACCCCGTGGTACCTTCGTCTCTGTTAGGTTCTGCTGGAGACATTTTAAGTTACGTGACCTTCCATAGCTATATAGTTTTTATGGGCTCAAGTTTCGCAATAGTAAAGTAGAATGACTTTTGAGATTAAGTATTGGAAGCTCAGGCGCAGAAAATGCGTTCATATATTCGGACTATTATTGGGAATATTCTTTTGTTTTAGTAATAGAATATTTTACTTCGCTAAAGGTCACAACTGCATATAATCACCGGAGCGTTTAATTAACTGTTTGATCATTTAAGTAATGACAATTCAGAATAATTATGTCAATTTATATGCAACATAAATTAACAAATTAATTAAGTTTATCGATGCACAGCCATGTTGAGATTAGTAGGTTTAATTTATTCTATGACTTAATAATTTTTCGACAATATTTTTATAAGAGCAAAATAGGTACTAAACGGTAAAAAGTTTGTAGTTCATTATTCATTCATTGCAGTCTATAAGCCACTCCACTTCACGGCTGAATATGCCCCTACATTTTAAAGTGCCGTATAGGAGGAAATGCACCATAACGCCACAAGAAAAAAGCAAAAAGAAAAATATTTATAATGTTAGCCACATGATCCTATAGCAAGATTCCATACGATATTGTGGTATGAAAATAACTATAAAACCTATTCTATCTGTTTCAACTCAAGAATTATTTTTACAGCGTACGCTGCAGAACTAAGTCCGCTTACTAGTTTAGATATATTAGGGTCCCGTTTAGGAAATTTCTCTTCGAGAACTACTTTCATTAGTAATAAATAAGCGAATACTTTACAAAATTTTTTTGCAATAAAGACGTGGAAATTAATTTCCTTAGATCCATTTGTAAAATAAATTGATTTTTACCAAGTTTGAGGAGCACCAATATCCCTTGCAAAATTACCCGCTCTATCACAGCAAAATCACTGGTTTATTATTTTTAGCATCCTTAATTCCTTGCATAACTATCATCATTAGCCAGTGATAATCCACAGCTGGACATAGGCTCTCAAAGTATGTCACTTAGTCATAGTAAAGCCAGCTGCCTTGCGCAGATTGTCGCTCTATCAAGCCAAGGGTGACTATGTGTAATTTTTTAATCCAATCTGACTTATGATTTTTTGCTCCTAATTTTATTTCTAACGCTTTATTTTTTATTTTACGCGTATTATTACAGATCATTCCCCCGGCGGTTGGTTGGAATAGAACGATTGAAGGTAAGTCCACCCTTTGTAGCCCTTTTATTTAAGGTGTTGGCAATAAAGCATAAAAAAAAATAAAAATAAATATACGTTGTTAGTTGTCACTTCTGAGGACTAATAATAATAATAATAATAAACGTTTATTTCGGACATCATGATACATATAGGTTAGTAACAATTTTTAGAGCTTATAACTAATGTTAGTAATTGACTATTGAAACATAACACATATAACATAAAACAAGAACAAACAGAAAAACCACACAAACAAATATGGCACCCGGCCCTGCCCGCAAGATGACTACTTGACTGCGTGCAGCCGTATCCAACGAGCAAGCATCGGCGAGTCCCAACGGTCTGCCAAAGCACACAAGATACTCTTGGGGTTGTCGCGAAAGCGCCTAAAGTGTGAAACGCAACGTTTACGCATTATGGCGGTGAAACCATCTACGTGAGCCTCCGCAAACATAGCAGAAGCGCTACAGAAACGCGGCAGCCCCATCAATACCCGGAACGCGTTATTGTATTGTACTCGAAGATCACTGTATATCATCTGCGTAAAGTTAACCCACAGACTGCACGTATAAAATGACTGACAGTAAGTCTTGAAAAGTGTAATCTTTGCTTCGTCAGTACATTTAGCAAATCTGCAGGCCAACATATTACAGCGGACAGACAGCGACCTCCGCTCCCTCTCAATATCCTGGTTGTCTTTCAGGTCATTTGTGATCTAGTAGCCCAGGTAAAAGGTCTCAACTTTTTTCAAAGGGGTTCCACAAAGCTTAAAAAAGTGTCACATTAGTGTATCGCTTATGGTCTGGATTGAACATCATGAATTCGCTCTTAACAGCATTATATTTGAGCCCCTGGGCCACAGCATAAGATTCGCATATAGTTAACATTTTCTTTAAGGCTGCACTTGATGGACTCAGCAGCACCATATCATCTGCATAACTTATGTTATTAATACAAACTCCGTCTATGTGGCAACCGATACCGGTACTGCTGAGCTCATCAATGAGCCTATTCATATATAAGTTAAAGAGCGTAGTAGAGCTTAGACCACCTTGCCTCACGCCGCATTCTAATCTGTATTCTTCTGAGAGCGAGCCAGCTCATCTGACATTGTTCTTTTGGTTGCTATACCAGTGCTGAAATAGCAATATAACTTCTTCGGACAGGCTAGTCTCAGATCTCATCTTATTCCACATGCATTGGTAAGCCACTAAGTCAAACGCCTTTGATAGGTCCAGGTATTAAGCAAACACAAGTGTCTTCCATGCTGTGTAATACTGAACAGTCTGCTTGAGACACAAGATAGCACTCTCGGTGGAAAGTCCTGGTCTAAAACCGAATTGAGCATCATTGAGCGTGATGTGCTTATCCAGGAACCCGTTAAGCAAACTGTCCAGTACCTTAGCGATCACAGAAGCAAGGGAGATGGGCCTATAGTTGGACACATCAGAAACGCCACCAGTCCTGTTTTTTGGAATAGGAATAACAATAGCTCGCATCAATTTGTCAGGGAGATATAAATGCCCAATACACAAATTAAACAACAAAGACAAAACCCTTGGCAAATGAACTCCAGCATGCTGCAGGTGTTCGATGCTGAGGTGGTCATGCCCAGGCGACTTGCCCTTCACCATGCACTTAATGACTTTAGCTACATATTTGGCAGTAAAAAATACACTACGCTTCAGACTACCTGCCTCAGCATCAGACACCAGCGGCTCTGCCGGTCCCAGTGGTGATTCCACTCTAAAGTATTCTCTGAACAAATTAGCAATAACACTAGGATCACAAGCTCCCGAAACACTCACGGGAAGGCTCAACTTATGATTCATTTTATTAGTGAGTTTCCAAAACTGACCGAAGTTCTTTCTTTTGTGGTGTTCAGCTATAATGTCCATTTTTATTTGTGTCTGATTATTTGACACCATTTTAATTTAGCTTTAAAAATGCGTCTCGATTCACACATTTCACTAAGACTCGACAATGTTATATTATACGGACTTTCTATACCCATTGTATCGAAAAAAAGTAGTACACGTATAGAAAAAGGCAAAATTGAAACTTAAGAAAAAATGTATCTCTTCTAGTCAAGTCAACATGGAAAAATATCCGCGCTACATTCGGAAAAACGGCTGAACATAAAGAATGACGTTATTTAGTGGCGGAGTTTGACATATCATTTGAGTAATATCATTAATAAATGATATTTTTTGTTTAAAATGCACGGAATATGTACTATTAAGTTTTAAAGGTGTTTTTATAAGTTTTTTTTTAAATGATATTTAATTAAAAGCAACTCCTGTCTACTTGTCTCCTGTGAATATCAGGACGACATTTTGTTACATCTGTTTTTGATATCCACAATTATTTAACCTTAAAAAACATTCACAGATTGTAATCTACAAAGTGTAGCAT